GCTGGAGCATGAGCCCAACCCTGCCCCCGACACTGCACCCCACCCACCACCCCGTGAGCGAGCGACGTGAGCGCGCCTGCAGGAGCGCGCGTGTGTGACTCAAGGTCTATTCATAGCTGAGCTCCACCAGCTGCAGCGTCACAAGCAGAGGGGCCTCAGCCCATATTATTATTTCAATTACCATCTGAATTAAAAGTTTGAGCAGCGATCAGCCCACGTAGCGAGGGAAAGAGGGAGCAGGAGAAAAATAAAGATGAAAAGGAGAAGTAGGGCTGAGCCCGGAGATCCCCCTACACCCCAAGGAGTGCTGAGCAGCCGCCCAGGAGGTTTAAAGGTTACGCCAAACCCCAGGATCCTGGCCTACCCCTTGCCCAGGGCCCAGGATCCTCGTGGGGATGGGAGGAGCATGTTGAGATGACAACCCAACAGCAGCTACTTTGTGGAAACAGATAATTCAGTCCAGACTCTATGGCATTTGGGCGTGCCAAGCTCAGAGAGGGCGAGGAACTGACTTAAGGTCACACAGGAAGCCACACCCAAGGCTTCTGTCTCCAAGCAGCTCCTCTTGCCAGGCAGGTCCCAGCCACAGAGGTTCCCCTGACTTGGGTAGGGGGAGACTCCCCATCAGCCAGAGCTGACTCCATCCAGGCTGGATGACGCTGGCATCTGTGGGTGGCCCTGGGACAGAGGTGGGACCTGCTGTCTCCCTGCTGGTTTCTAAACCCTCTCCCTGTTCCCCGGAGCCTGACTCCCCGACCCACAGCCAGAACTCTCACAGCCCTCTGGCCAATCACCTGGACAGCCTGCACGCCCAGTCCCAGACCCCACACCACCATCGGCCCAAAGGCCCCTCCTTGCCCACTGGTGCAGGGAACAGAGCCCTGGGCCGGGAGACAGGCAGCTGGCCCCAGTCTTCCCATCTATAAAATGAGTCCTCCCCACCTCTGCATGCTGTATCTGTGTCTTCAGAATGGACCCCCAGAGGATCCCTAAGGGGGTGTTGTACTGTGAGGGTGACAAAGACCATCTCCTGCCAAGCCCCAACCCAGGGGAGGAACATTTCCCACTCTTCTCCCAGGAAGTCCCAGAGACAGCCCCTGAGAATCTGACTGGCCTGGAATCAAATCCTGGCTCCTCCACTTCCCTGCTGGGTGACCTCAGGCAAATCACATAGGCTCTCTGAGCTGGGGCTCTCCCCATCCCCAATATCAACCTTGCGGGTTTACTGAGAGATGGTAATTGCAAAAGCCTCTAGTCCAGTACCTAGGGTGGTTATGTGAACTTACTTGCTAGGAAGCAGCTAAGTGATGGGGGCTGCTCCCAGCTTCTCCCTGAGGGCTATCAAAGAATCCTGGGATTTTGGAGGTGGGGATGTCATTCAACCTCATCTATAAGGCAGGATCCCTGGCAGGTGATCATCTGGATCTGCTTGAATAGCTCTGGGAATGAGGAGCTCACTGTTTCACAGAACACCTGCTCCTCACCCTTCTTTGCTTCTAACTCTAGCAATTTTCTAGAAGGGACCATAATCTTCCAGCTTCACCCCAAATCCAGCCTGTCCATGCCTGGGACTGTCTAAACCTGGCTTTAAAATGAGCCTGAAACGGGACTCCTCAAATAGACCAAAGGAAGGGTGGGATTCATGTCCAGGAAGGGTGGAGGTGAGAGACTAGAGGAGCAGGCAGGGGAAGGGAGGGGGCCAAAGCCAGAAACTGACCCACAAAGCTCCTAGGTCCTAGTCTGGGCTTGCTATAGTTTCCCACGGTGTGTGTGCATCTGTCTGTCTGTCTGCCTCCAGGCAGGGCTGGGAGCCAGGAGCTCTGGAATCAGGCCCTAGCTTTGCCTCCTCCAGCCCTAAGCCCTCACTGTGACCCTGGGGGAGTCCTCATCCCCCTCTGGGCCTCGGTTTCCACTTTTATAAAATGAAGGCATCAGACCAGTGATTTAAGTCCCAAGCCTTCTGTCTGACTGAGATATCCCCAGGGTCCCCTTAATGGCTTGGTCTTCCTGCCCCCCACCTCTAGACCGGCATGCCAGGAGCCACAGGGCCCCTGAGCGTCTGTGGCTTGGGAGCCAGAGACCATCTCTCCTGTTCCCTACTTTCTTGTCTAGTGCTGTAGGGGTTACCTTTGAGGGTTCTATCATCCCCACTTTACAGGTGAAGAGATGGAGGCATAGGGAGGGCAGGCTACTTGCTCAAGGTCACAGGGAGAGATTGGAAATTCAGGCTCCCTCCCCTGTGCCCAGGAGAACAGTGGGACTCAAGGGCACCCTTTTTCAGGAGAGTCACCAAGATCTGGAGTGGCCAGCTCTTCGCTACACAGATGTGCACTCTGCATACAGGGGGAGGGAACCTGTACAAGGTCGCTGGGAAAGGCTCTGGCCTCCAGGCCCCCCAGCCAGGGTGACAGCAACATGGCCTGACTTCCTGCCTGGCTCCAGCATCTCCCCAAGATTGGAGCCTGTGTCCTGCCTCCAGGCGCTGCTTGGCTGCCCCCAGAAGCCCCCAACCCCTGGGATGGAGGGAGGATGAGTGAGCAGGAAGGCAGGAAAGAAAGTTGCGGCTTGGCTGCTTACCACCCCCCCCAACCTGTCCCTCTGTCCCTCCTGCTCCTTCTCCCCTCTTGCAGGGGGAGCGGCAGTGATGTAATGCACTCGGCTTTGGTCCTGGTGCCAATCTCAGAAGAGAGACGACAGATTGCGTGAGCCAAATTTGGCATCCTAGGGGGAGAGGCATGAAAAGTGGAGATGTGGAGGAGAGAAGCGAGGAGCCTGGGGAGGTGCAGGAGAAGCTCCCCTGCCCAGCGACCCCTGGAGGCCCCACCCCACCCTCCACTACTGCCATCTACCCACTGCAAGCCCACCTGGCCTCGGGGCTCCCCTCCCCACTCTGAGAGGCCCAGCCTAGCTACTCCTGGGACCCTCCACCCCAGTGCTGCCAGTCCTGCCACCCCCCCCACCCCCCAACACACCGCTCCAGCTCCGTTTCCCACCGATGCTAGTCTCCTGGTTACCATGTTGCCGGTTGTCATGTCGCTTACATGTCCTCGTGACTCAGTGGTCCCCGCAGAGGGGCCCCCTCCTCCTCACACCCCCCTCAGCACTCGCCCCCGCCTCCCCCAGATCCACATTAAGAACCAGCCCACCCTGTAAGCCTACACTGTTCCTCCTCCCTTTCCCTCTTATCCTCTTCTAAGCGAAGGAATCTTTTTGCAGCATTTCCGAGCGCTGCTTTATTCTCTGTTCCGCAAATGTCTGTTAAGAACCTACTACGCTCCAGGCTCATGCAATCTGCTTTCAGAGATTTGGCTTCAGCTGTAAACAGTTCAACAACTCTAGGAGGTCAATACCATCATCCCCATTCTCCAGGTGAAGAAACCGAGGCTGAAAGAGGTCAAGCCAGTGGCCCAAGGTCACCCAGCAGAAATGCGAGGCCAGCTCTGTCTGTCCCAGCTGCCCCAAAGACTTTCTCTGAAGAAGAAGCTTCCCTTTCAAGGTAACCCAAGGGGCTCTCAAGCCCCAGATCCCCTCTAGTTCCCAGACGCTCGTACCCTTGGTGTGTTCTCTATTTCAGGCCAGCTGTCCCCCCACCATTAGCTGCTCACCCGCCCAAAGGTAAAATGAGTCCTTACTTTCATCTGCCCAGCACTTTCCATAGTCTGTGAACAGCCCTCAGCTCATTTGAGCCCTGAGGCCCACCCCCTGGAGGTCAGTGCGGCAGGGACTGCTGTCCCCATTTCACAGATGTGGAAATTGAGGATCAGGGAGGGAGAGAGACTTGCCCACGATGCTTGTCTCTTAGCTAGGTGAGCTAATTTCTGGGAGCCTGAATGGCTGGTATTCACTGCCCAGCCGTGGAAAACCCCAGAAAGAGCCCCTCCTCCCAATGAAGAGAAGGGTCAAATGTTCTGGGTTCAGGCCTCTAGGCTCCAGTGGCCTTTGCCACTGCCATGTTGCACCCCAGCCCTTATCTCACTACCTTCTTCCACCACTTGTTCCCTCAGCCCTCTTCCTAGGTCAAGCCAGGGCACAGCGTGGCTCTCAAGCCCCTAAAGTCCTGCCAACAGCCCCATAAAAAGGACTCAAGCCCTGGAGGTCACAGGACCGGATGTGGCGGAGAAGCGGATAGCTGTTACACACACAACCACACACCCAGGGCTCTGGCCCTCAGGCCTCCCTCCCTCAGCTCCTGCTCCTCTCAACCTGCCTCTTGGCCATTCTACTGTTCTTGAGGGCTTCACCTGTCAACTTATCCATGCCACCTGTGCCTCCAGCTGCCCCCCATCACCACCACCTACTGTCTTCCTGCATCGCCTCCCCACCCAGAGGAGCCAGAGCACTTGGGGCAGAAGTGTGGGTGGGTGGGGGGCAAATAGGTGAACGTTGGTTGCAGGGGAAGTTTTCCCTGCTCAGGGGTTCCTTCAGCCCTCTTTCTCCTTGGGGTTCTCCCAGCACAGAGAAAAAGAAGTCCCTGCCGCTCCCCCCAGCCTGTTTCTACGACTGCGAACCGTGAAATGCCTCATTTACTCTGATCCCTGTTCGCCGGCCCTGAGGGTGCCTGGCACAAAGTAGGTGCTCAACACAGGAGAAGCGGATTTTGTTCTCTGTCAGATGGCAGGGCCATTTTCAAACAGGCTGCAGTTGGCGAGGTGGAGAGGAGACCCCCCTCGCCGCACGTGATCCTCCTTGAAGCGCCTCCGAACCCGGGAGTGACAACTGGGGGTGTGTGGAGGCAGGGAAAGGTCGTGGCCGGGGCAGGAGGTTAAGGCGTCCTTTTACTCCCTCTATCCCCCGCCCTGGCCACAACCCAGACCGCTACACTCCCAACGTACAGACTGACTGAGTCCGCCCGCTCTCCATGAGCGGCCGGACCCGGGTCAGGGATAAGGCGGAGCCGGCCGCGTCGGAGCGGCTGGGCCCCGGGACACACAGACAGCACGTGGCCGGACAGACGGACAGACTGACGCACGGAGCCCGTGGTGGGCGCGCGCCCGGCTTACCGCGGGGCGGACGGTCCGACGGGTGTCCGGGAGGCGGCGAGCGGGCGCTACATCCCACGGCGCAGTCCGGCTGGCGGGCG